AGTCTCTCCTGCCCCTCTGGGCACAATAAAGATTTTCTGCATGCAAGTTGATTTTCTCCTCTCTTTTTGTCTTAAATACTGTTCCCAGCAGCCGTTGGAGATTTTATGCTGGTTTCTCCATCTTTCCCCAATTTATATCATGCGTATTGCCATACTTAGGAATGACGATGTCGTTCCTGGCTTCTCCTTCTTCATCTCTTCACAAGTGGTGCTCATCCTACAGAAAATCTACTTTTCCCTAATTAGACAGAGGTATGATTCAATTACAGCAGTGTAGCAAATAATTGGGAGCAGGTGGTTATATTAAAGATGGCTCTTCAAGATATATATGCATACTTACATGTAAATATTTGTACCGATACATATTTGGGTCATAATATTAATATATTAGAGGGTAGTTCCTTACCTGCAATTCATTGTCTTCCAGAAGAAGGCGTGATGCTGTCTTTTCACTGTCCAAAACTTTGTACTTCTACAAAACAGCTACTGTATGACAGTCAGGGTGTTTTTAACTGCCTTGGGGTCAAAAGCAAAGACAGATCATCTTTTTCTTACTTTTGCTCAAGGTGACCCATCCCACAACATTATTTTCCCCACTTACTATGTTACGTGTGAGATTAATGAATTTAAGATTAGTGGCATTGAGATTTCTTTGGTTCAGCCTGTGTTTTGGAGCAGCAGCGACATGCCCACAGTAAAAGGGAAATTTGGTGTGCCATTCCCCATGTTTTTACAGGTTCTGCTTACATTATCACTGCTGTCTGATATTCTGTATTTACAATGGATTCACTTAAGAGCATGTAACATCCCTATGTTTTACCATCACCTATTTGGGGCTACCTAGAGCATTTTTCCTCTTCTGTCACTTCTTTCTGATTGTAGCCTGTGTAACGCTAGATCTTTTCTCCCTGGTCAGCAGGTGCATAGCTTTGCACTGTGTTACTGAAGATCACACCGTTACTGTTGCTCCCATCAGTTAAGCCATCTCGTTTTTCCGGTTTTAAAGTCTGATTCCCTCCTGTTTAATGCCACTCAACTTTACCTTATCAGCACATAAACCAGAGTGCTCCCAAATTATGTGCTAATGCCATTAATGCAAACAAATAATTAGAGGTTTTCTGAGACTGATCCTTGACTAACCGGTGTAGTAAACTCCTTCCATTCCTGTAACTCCCGTATAACATTAGACACTGACGGAAAGGTATCTCTGTGTACTATTCTGCAATCAGACATGAGCTCACCCTGAACAGGCATCCAGCCCAAATAGAAGCTACGTAATCATGTTAGCTGCATGCTAATACCTCTCACTAATCTTGTTATCTTGGGCTAGGCACTTGCTGTCTGACACAATACACATCTAATTGGGTGCTGGCTGGCACCTGCCTAAGAGAATCAGTGGAAAAGTTGGCAGTCAGAGCTTAAGGGTTCAGCTGTGATCATGTATGGTTTACACTGAAGTACCTCTTAGAGGCTGTGGGTGAGTGCAAGGATCCTGGTGTTGAGCAGAAGAGAAATAGAGCAGAAACCAGGCATCTGCGTTTTGTAAAGTTGTCCTGGGCTGAACTAGCTGGGAGGAGTGGGGGCTTTGCTCAGCCCAAGAGAGGTACCTGAGCCAAGGAGATGCAGGGCTGGTGCAGAACAAGCCAGGAGGCTGGTTGCTGAGCTCTTGGGAATTCATGGCAACAGTATTCTTGTCTCAAACCGTGTGAGGGTGAAGAGCAGCAGCAGGGACAGAGAGCCATTTCCTTATGCCCAAAAGTCAGGAGCCTTTCTTCTCCACCTCAGCAGCCTGGGCTTTTCACACACCCCAGGCACTCACGGAGGGGGGCAGAAACTGGGCTCTCAGCTGGGCCCTGCAAGTTCCAGTCCCTTCCCAGACCTTTCCCCAAAATCCCAGGACCATGAGGGAAGGCAGGGTTGGGATAGGGATGAAGCATGCAGAGAAAGAAGCTTTCAGTTAAGGGCTTTTCTTTGGTCAAAATGTTCTCAATAAGTATTTGTTAATCAGTAAAAATAAAATACTATTTTCTTAAAAGCGAGACTCGTGAGTACCATAGACTAATTTTCATTTCAACTTGTTACTACTTATAGCACACAGCTATCTGACCTAGCCAGTTACATTTGGGGAGGGGGAGTGAAGGGAGACAATGACAACATTGAAATTACCTGTTAAAATCAGATTTCCTGTAGGCTGTGACACTGACAGAGGGTTGAGATCAAGAAAATGTACCTTTATGCATGGAGTTTTTCTTTGAAAAAGTCTTGGTGAAGTAATAGGTAAATCCTCTCTAATACATTCATTCATGTTCTTTTTACTTCACTCAGCTGACTTATAGACTCAGCCAAAACTTCCCCGAGGCAACTGTTATCACAGCAGTGATTAAGAAAAAAGAAGAGGTAGTCCTTGATCTTTGCTCATCAGATACCTATCTTAAAAATTGTTTCCCATTGTTTACCTTCCTCCTATTGTTCATTTTCAGAATACGCTTTGATAGAACTTCGGGCCACGGTTTTTTGCTTTGTCTTTGAACACAGCTTGATGATTTCTGGTATATCATCTGGGAAGACGTAAAATTAAAAGTAATTCTATCACTAAATTAACTAGTGAAAATAAATTGGATTAACCTCTGGAATTCTGATAACTAGAATAATCAGTGTAGGGGAGATGATAATTTCAGCTCAGAAAGACTGGACAGATAGGTTTCTGAGCAACAGGACCATGTGCGGCCAGAGCTGGCAGGGCTGTAGGGCCTCCCCAAAGGCAGCTCAGCTTGGCTCTGCTGGGGCTGAGAGCCTGCCCTGGTGCGGCTGGCAGGGGCCACGCGCAGGGCCAGGGAGCCCTGCAGCCCAGGCTGGGCCTTGAAAGGAAAAGCGGAGAGGCAGGTGTTGGATGCAGGCTTGTTTTATTGCAAGGGCAGGGAAGCGGCCAGTGGAGAAAGACCCCGAAGGCCGAGGCAGGCAGGCTGTCCCTGCGGGCCTCGAGAGAGGTGTTCCTTCAGGCTTCTGGCGGGCAGTGGCGGTTGGGGAGCCAAGCAGTGCCCGGCGGGACGATGGGGGAGCCGTGCATGCGGGCACGGGCAGGAGCAAGGAAGAGGAGATGAAACAAATGAAGAAGGAAATCAGAAGTGTAAATTATGGAGCTATTCTGACTCCACGGTCTTAAGTGGAAATCTTTGATGCTCTGCCCCTTACTCAGAAGCTCTTTTGAGGATGAAGATTGTATCGTGCATTTTCTAATCATTCTTTAGCCAAGGGATATTTCTGTAGGATTTAGCAGGGTCCACAGATGCCACGGCTGTACCTGTTGTACCGATACGAGTAAGGGCTGCAAGAGCCAGAACCATAGGATCTACCATAGCCATATAGGCCCCTGTAACCCAGGGAGCTCCCGTAGCCGTACAGACCCCCACAACCCAGGGAGGAACCCCCATAGCCGTACAGACCCCCACAGCCCACGGAGCCACCGATTTTTGGGGGACCCCCCCGTAGCCATACAGACCCCCATAGCCAAGGGAGCCCCCATAGCCCCCAAGGACAGGTGCTCCAGAGGATCCCACAACTGAATCCTGGGGGAAGGAGCTGAGGATGGGGCCAGGGAAGGTGACGATGACCGGGGGCGGCTGGATCACAGCTGTGGAGTCAGGGCACTGACGGACACACGGTTCATTCCCACTGTCAGCAAGGGGCTGAGGGCGGTTGATGCCACCAAGAGCAGAGGAGCACAGGTCATAGTAAGACATCTCGCAGGGATGGAGGTCAACCTACAAAAGTTGAATTTACCAAGTACAGAATATGATTTACATACGTAAAAGTGCTATAGAGTTTGCTGCCTTTCCTCAGAGTGTTTTGTACTTTGAAGTATATCAGTTTACCCATGTCTATTGGAAATTAGAATTGAAGCAGAACAGCAAAATTATTTGCTCAGATGTTTTGGTGAGTCAGTGAATCAGGAAGGGACTGGGACTCCAAGAATGGAGTGTGTTGTTATGCATGATTTTATGACTCTAGCTCTTCATTCTCACTGATCTCCTTTGTGCTGAGCCTTGTGAGAACAGGGATTATAAGCCATTGTCTATTCAGATTCGCTCAGTAACTTGTTTGAGGAGACCAGTACAAGGGAATTGCTTGTCCCCAATTTTCAAACATTAAATCAAGACACTGAAATATTTACAACTAGCTTAACAGTGTTTTGATTCTAGGCTCCAAACTCTTGGAAAAAAATCTCACCTCAAGCAACTCATCCCCACTAACGTGAAAAATCCAGCACTTCACCTGTCAGCTCCTTAAATTCCCTCCATCGCCCCTCTTCCTCTTAATTAAATAATTTTCTTATAGAGCATTTTCAACAGCTCTCAGTTCCTCTCTGTGTCCTACTCTATCTAAGCCAGTGCCTGATCTCTAGTAGTATTCATGCCCATTTATCTTGAATTAATATAAAACCACTTTGAGTGATCTGTAATAGAATAAACTGCAGATAATGGAATGTCTGCTTCTAAGCTCAGCAGTTCCCTGTGAACCAGGAATATTTAAAATTTTTCAAACAATTTCCAGTTACCCGTATAAATTGAACTAGTCACATCTTCAGCTTTTGCAGGTGACCTAATAACAAACTTAATTTTATGCCATATCAAGAAACTTTCAGTTTGCTTTGAAATTAAATGCCAAACCTGAATGCAGAGAACAGCTGCCCATAACACTTTTAATCAATTTTGTAAGCTTTATCTTTTCACCTAAATTTTTACCCGCTAGTTCTTAATGGAAGACACCATCCTAGATTAAACTGTATAGCAAAGAGCTATTCCAATAGTTGTAAGAGCAGATGCAGACTTACCCAGTTCGCTGAGAAGAACAAGTGAAGAGAAGAAGTTGGAAGAACCCTGAGTGGAGAGAGCTTTTATACAGTTCAGACTGCCTGAGGGATGAGAGGCTGGTTTCACGAAAGTGGATTTAATTAGTTGACACGGCACATTTTTTCTTGTATTGATAGCTCTGCAAAGTGATGAAATTGTTTCGCTTTCTGTTTTTGTTTATTACTTGATTTCAATTATCATGTAACATAACACATGCATTACATCACACAAGGTTCTTTCATCTAAAAGAATGATGGGTGAAATTAATGCATCTTTCATCCTAAAACATGATTCATGAAATTAATATCAGTTTTCTATTCTCTTTGGAGTTGCACCATGTAGTAAGCTACTTATACACAAATATTCTTCTTTTGCTGTCTTATATGACAATGATGCTCAGACGTTTATCAGAAATGACCTGCTGTGAGGTGTTTCTTTTAAAGTCCCTTAAGTAAGTTTTCTCTCTTCTTGAAGGTAAAATACAGTCTATCCTTAAATCCTCAGGAAGGTAGGCAGTATCTTTTGTGTGCTTAGGTTTATTTCTAAGATGTGATATAATCCATATTGGAACCTATAGAGGGTTCTCAATACTCTCTGAATGAAATTATGTTGTGAGCATTCCCAAACACACTGTGGCAGATGGCAAAAACACCCTTACGTTTCATCTGACCCTCAAACTACAGCTTAAAGTTGAATTTAGTTCTGAAAGGAGAGATATTTATATTTTTAATGCCTAGGACGAAAAGCTCAAAATAAAGTGTAGATTAAATTAATATCTACATTTGTGATTTACTGAGATAGCTGTGTGTTTTTGTAGAAGGTATATAGAAGAACCCCCAAATTTAACTGTATTAGAAAAAAAGCCTTCCTTTTTTGAAAGGAAGAAGAGAGCTGTGAAGTGAGATTTCAGAGTAATAGACTAAGCCACAGTCTAATAGGATTATCAACTCAGTGGATTCATCCCAGAACATGTGATTCTTACTGGTGTCTCATTTGCTCATCTATTTTTTATCTCTGCCCTTCTTCTGGCATGCCTGCAGGTACATTGAACAGGCTCCTTTTGGCTGTTCGAAAGCGCCGAGACCTCCTGCTTAAATCAAAGACCCTTCACAACTGTTAAAGGATTTCTGCAGCTCTAATTTCACTTGCATACCCAATAGATAATAGCAACCATTTAGGCATCAAAGTGTCTAAAGTGTCACCGAAGTGACATCAAAAAGTGGACAGATTCCCAGTGAATATCTGAAATCGCAGGCAGTCAGGGATACTCAAAACTTTCAGTTCAGTTTGATCCACAAGTTTGAGAGGGTACATGCTCCTGAAGTTTCCTTTAATTTCTAGCTTGCTCTTCAGGAGTCCTTGACCTTGGTCTACAGCTGATCTTGCAGCTAACCCCATCATTGATGACATCTTTCAGTTGAGAGCAATTATGAAGTGGGAATCCACTGGGAAAGGCAATTGCTGGCTTTTGCTGACGTTTCTTTCTTTGTTTATGCCATTATTGTAATACTATATCATTATCATGGTTATCATAATCATCAACATGATTATCTTCAGACAATGTATTGTTTCTAAGTTATGAGCTTTTCCAAATCTGGATATACACATGGAGATTTCCTGAGCTGTAATACTGGAAAAAAAGCATCTCAAAGTTTTACAAGAACATTCCAAGGGATTTTCAAATATTTCATGAACACCCACTACTAGCTTATACATAGTGTGTCATAATTGTATAAAAAGTATACCTGGATGCATACACCCCTCTATTATGAGAGATTATCATATTAAAAAGTCACTTAGTTCTTTCCCATAATCAGTTCATGGTTTGTAACACTTTTCGGACGTTCCTTTCTTTGACTTGAAAAATAGAAACTACCTTCTTTTTTATTGAAGTACACATTGGTCCAGAAGCAGAAATTTGCTTGTTAACTGAACTATCAGCCAAAAAAACCCCGAAACCAACCAAACCAGAAAAAAACCCAAACCCAGGGGACAATGGATGGGGTCTGTATTCATTGTGTCAAGGCTAGAATCCCTTTCAGAAGTCATGTCTTACAGCCCGATTTACCTACTTTCCTTAGCCCTGTGTTCCTAGGTGCATCTCTCTAAGGCATGATAATAAGAGGAAAAAGCATGATAAAATGTAAAGGAAAGAAAAACCCAATGAAGCAACTCAGAATAATCCATTTCAATAGACTTGTGACTACCAGCTGAAATATTTCTCTGATCCCAGGACTGAAAACAACTAGTAGAGAACTGTCCAAAAGCCATTAAAAGATGTTCCTGATTTTTGTCTTTGCCTTGTGTTGAGTAGCTGGAGATAGAAGAGCTAAGCCTGCAGAAATAATGTTTTTACCCTTGTTATGTGTCTCCAGCTTTCATTTGATATCCTAAAAGAGATTTCATTTTGTCTTCAGGTATACTGTTGGCTACACTAGAAAACCTGTAGCTAGACAAAAAAATTTCTGTCCTCCTGCCATCCTAATTATGCAGGACTCAAATAAATCAAGCCAGCTTACTTCCTAATACTAAAGAAAACAAAAAATGATTCCACACATAAAGCCTGGAGATAATGGAGAGGGCTGTGGTGGAGCATGCATGTCATGCTGTGTGGGGGTTTGAAGTGCCTGCAACGCACAAGCCACAAGCAAAAACACTTTCAGCACTTTGAGGAACAACGTGTCCTACAATTTGGGGTTGGTGCCTAATTATGAACTCACACGTAGGATGCCTAATATCCTCCAGGCAATTGATGGAACTATATAAAAGCTCCCTGCATTAAGTCTTTCTATCCACTTCTCTCACCCACTTGCCTTTGTGAACCAGGTAAGTCAGATTTCTTTCAAACTTCACTAAACTTTCTGTCAAGAATTCCTCATATTTTAAGTTAGGACCAAGTCCTCTTCAGTTACTGCTAGGCTGCCAGTGATCTGTGGATTATTTGCTGCTGGAAAAAACGTTTAGTTTCTCATTCCTTACCAGGCCCTGTAAAGACAGGCTCCAGAAGAGGAGTATATCAAGCAGTTCTGAGTCCCAAACTTGTACTATTTTAGCGCTTCAAATAATTCCTTTACTGTTTTAGGAGATAAAGAATAGTTGATATACATGGCTGTATATGGCTGCATTTAATAGAGTTCTGCTGAGTTTATAACAAGAAAGATCAAACTTATTAAGTAGAAACCATCAACTGATAGTAATTTAATACTATCAAAATTAGTTCATCTGGAAATACCAAAGATACAATTGAAAAGTACATTACTTTGTCATATTAAAGGCAAAACGAGCCTCCAGTTTACAGTGCTAGGAAGAATAGTAATAGAAAATATGTTTACTTCCCTAATTTATTACTGATACCTTGTTGGACTGCTTCATCATAACCTAATGTTTGATATTTCTTTAATGTTAACATAAATGACCATGTTTTACAGACTGACTTCCATCCCTGCGAGATGTCTTGCTACGACCTGTGCTCCACTGCTCTTGGTGGCATCAACCGCCCTCAGCCCCTTGCTGACAGTGGGAATGAACCGTGTGTCCGTCAGTGCCCTGACTCCACAGCTGTGATCCAGCCGCCCCCGGTCATCGTCACCTTCCCTGGCCCCATCCTCAGCTCCTTCCCCCAGGATTCAGTTGTGGGATCCTCTGGAGCACCTGTCCTTGGGGGCTATGGGGGCTCCCTGTGCGATGGGGGTCTGTACGGCTATGGGGGCTCCTCCCTGGGCTACGGGGGTCTGTATGGCTATGGCTCCCTGGGCTATGGGGGTCTGTACGGCTATGGGGGTTCCTCCCTGGGCTATGGGGGTCTGTATGGCCATGGGGGTTCCTCCCTGGGCTACGGGGGTCTGTATGGCTATGGTAGATCTTACGGTTCTGGCTCTTGCAGCCCTTACTCGTACCGGTACAACAGGTACAGCCGTGGCAGCTGTGGGCCCTGCTAAATGCTACAGAAATATCCCAAGTGAGGTATAACCAACAAATGAGATGCAATGGTTTCACAGCTGAAGACCTCTGAACCTCCACTGCTCTGTTCCAAGACTACAGAGCTGTACCCCTTCAGGCCTTCTTGGATTTGTCCTCTTAACTGCAGCTTCCAGTTTCTATCTTGATGCTTCTTCCATCACATTTCTATTTTGCCTGGGGTAAACATGTAAAAAAGTTGCTCAAAATGGTTCCTCTCTGTTCAAATCAGCAGCTAAGACTCATGAAGAAAAAAAAAAGAAAAATCGTATCTGAATGTATCTCTGACTGGAGAATAGTTTGGCACTTCTTTGAGACTGAAGATGTATTCCTTTTCTTGCTCTCATTAAAAGCTTATTGCATCAAAGTTGTCATGTTCTGGTGGTTTTTTCTCATGTTTTTACCCTTGTTATTTCTCTTAGGAGAAGTCTAACTTGTGCAGCTGTCAGTAACAGTCTAAACTATGTAGATGCCTCCCAAAACCCCCAGGGATTTCAAATGTACAAAAGTGTAGAAGACCTCAGCACAGAAGGAACTACTATCCTGCCCTCCCCATTTTTCAGATAATGATTCTTGACATTTTTTAAGAATTTGGCTTCTTAGTTGTACATCCACTGGTTACAGATTAGTAGTGGCAGAGAAATGAAGCAGTAGACTATGAATTTTAAGCTCTTTATTAAAAACATTAGACTTCAGTAAGATTTTCTTCCAGGTAGGTCTCTGATTCATCTATTTGAACTTCAGGTTTTCATGTAAATACTTAAACTCTGTTCTTAGTCTCTACAGAAAATTGAATTAAATTTTCTGTCAAATCCTTAAATAAAGTTTTCTGGGTCATATAACGGAACTTTTAAATCTGAAGTGTGGGTGATGATCTTTCTGTATAATCATGAAACCTAAGGTGTTGGGTATTTTTTTAGCAGAAAAAGAGCTACTCCATACAAATACCCCAAGGGGTAATTCATCCACACCAGCAAGAACAGCTGAAACAGAACCAAGTTATTGCACCTGGAAAGCTTAAAAGGTTGAAAAAGTCATAACCTTGTATACATATCCTCAAAACTGCTGTTGCACTTCCCAGTTCCTCCTACATGGGAAGTCTTCACAATGGAAACCCCCATTTTCAGCAGTTCTAACTTTCAGCCTCTCCTGTGATATTCCTCATCTACAAGGTCCACTAGATAGTCTACCCACCTCTGAAGAGCTCTTTTCCTTGTTGCAGCTCCTTCAATCCTCTCCCTCTCAGCAGCTCTGTGCTAATATCCTTCACCACTCTCTCCATCTCCCTAAATCCTTTCTGGACTCAGGAGCATCCCTCCCACCTGAGGGCCTCATCTGCCACCCTTTTCCTCATAATCTGCTTTGAATCCAGCCTCAGCTGAGCTGCCAGCTCTGCTCCTGCTACGATCAGCGAAGACATTAAAGTGGCTCATTATGGAATGGAGGTTTAGTGTCTTTCTTTCTAAACATGGTGTTGTTATTGTAACCCAGGCCAGCTGGTGAGGGAGGATTTCTGCTCCCAAACGTGTGCACTGAGGGCAATGAAGTGTGACTGGCTTCATTGATACCTGGGCCACTTCAGCTGCGTTTTTGAGGTCTGAGCCTCATCCTGTGTAAGGATGTGTTTTCCCCATTTACAGAGAGGAGAGTTGTACATCCATAGCAGAAGAAACTACAACTAAAAGTTGATTTGTTTGATGCAGTGTAGAATCACTTTAATGAGAAAAATCCTTCACAGAAAAGCAGTGTAGAATATCAAGAATATGCATCAGAGTACAGGCAATTCCTTCCACAATTGTTCTTCTTTCGTTGGACCGTGAAGTGCCATTTTATAAGAATATAAATTACTTGTTTTATCCCTCCCATTATACACATAGATGGAAAAAAAGCTCAAAAGATAATGAGTAGACAGTGAAGAAATTAAGGACGTGCTGTGTGCTCCCAGCTCCACTGCAGTGGGGTGGCAGTGACCAGGACTTCACAACATCTCCTTTGGGATCGCTGCTGTGGATCAAGATTGTATCTCTCAGTTGCCGGTTATTCCTTACTCAGGGGAAATTTCTATAGGATTTACCAGGGCCCGCAGCTGCCACGGCTGTACC